GTCGAAGTACGATCTGTTGGAATTGATTTCAGCAAATAAACGACATAGTTTTTCCAAAAAACTAGTAACTAGCCATTTTTGCGAGGTAAACTGAATATGGCATGAAATATTTACCGCATTTTACTTGTATTAACAGGTCATTGTCGAAGCGTAGGTTACGCACGGTTACCGTGTTCTACGCATTCACAACATATTTACAGCGATCGATATCCACGCTGTATCATATAAAAACGATTACCAAGATTCATTACGCAAGACCAAGTTTTAAATTAGTTGCATTTTGAAGGGGTGGACGCTTTGCCGAATGTGACCCCAAATATAAAAATTGCGCAAAAGTGGGGGGTGGGCGCTTGCCCGGGCATGGGCGCTAACGCGGTCGAGTACGGTAAATGAAAACATGGTATGTGTACATGTGAGTACACATAAAAGTATGTTGTAAATTATGTGCAAAATGATTTATCTGAATTTGACCCATTTTAATCTGTAAATGCACTTGTTAGTGGATAGGAAAACAAGCAGCCTGTTGACTGAGATAGCTCCACAGTTAGCAATGCACATTTAAATTAAAGAACAGAAGATATCATTAGAAAATGAATAATATGTATAATATCAAAGCAAATCAGCCTTGTGGTTTTCAACAAGAAGTTGAAAATATTGTAGATGACCCAGCGGAGCTGTTAGTATATGGGTCTCACCAGCGGCGTCCGTCCCGTGTCCCGCGTGAAATTTTTCTTTAAACAAATTCTTCTTCAAAAGTTCTTGACCATTTACATTCATATTTGTACCAAAGGTACTTGGGGTGGTCCTCTGTCAGATTTGTTGAATTCATGTCAAAATATGGAAATTTGGATTTTTAGAGAATACAGTACTCATTCCGCCCAACCTCCCGCTTTTATCGCTTTTTTTCCGACCGCTTATCGCTTAATTTCCGACCGCTCGCTGCTTTCCGACCGGAAACCGACCGCTTTTTTTCCGCTCGCTCGCGTTCGCTTTTGTTCGCTCGCTCGCTCGCTCGCTCGCTCGCGTTCGCTCGCTCAATCCTGCTATGGCTGGCTTCAGAAACATCGTCCGCTTGCCAGCCGACCGCTGGAGTAACAATGACCGTACATTGTATGTATAAACTTAAGTTTTTATTCGTAATAAATTTAGGTTTTAATGACGATTCAAAACACAACGCCTATTGCTTCTCTGTTTTGGAACAAAGACGCCTTCAAATCACTTGACACATTGTAA